TTACTTTACCAATGTCAGACTCATGTATAAATATCTGAAAAGTATAAAGAGAGAATACCAACACAAGTTATATTAAAACTGTAGAGGGATAGTTAAACGATATAAAAAGAAAAATAAAGAAAAGTAAGTAACAAAAAATTTTGTTAAAACTAAAATTAATTAAAGTAGTAAATAAATTAAAAATAAATAAGTAATAAAAATTCAAATTAAAGTTAAAATTAATTTAAACTAATTAAATATAATAGTCCCCGACAACGGCGCCAAAAATTTGATCGTTTGATTTCCCGCAAGTGAACGGGATAGTGAACAAGTAATAGAGTAGTGAATAGAGTGTCGAACCCATGAGAACTATGTATTTGATCGGGTTAAAATTAATTGTAACTTTAATGGAATAGCAAATAGATTTTGAGTTTTCTATACTAATATCTAAATTATCTATTAAACTACAAAGCAAGTAAATGTGTTTTTCAAATATGTGAGATGCATTGCTAAAATGTCGAAACCCCTTGTTATTCCATTTTTAGAGTAACAGTTAAAGTGACAATTTGAAATCATTTATGTTGGTTAATATTCCTAATTTAATTGAAAACATCTCTCGATAGCGATCAAATCTATTCCCTTCATGTGACATTTCTATCTCTCGATGAAAGATGCAAACATGATAAATACATTAACAAATACTAGAACACCTATTGAAATCATATAAAGCATAGAGGTATATCTTTATCCTTTATTGAACCTTACAATGTTTATTATAATGTGCTTAAATCCTATTGTCTCTTTCAATAACAATAAAATTCACTAATAATTCAATTGGTGATCAAACAATTGAAAAGAACGATAATAAACATCCACAAATCAAATCAAATTAAAGTCAAAATAATTAATTAAAAATTGAAAATATCATAACAAGGGTTCATCTCATCCTAACAACGTATAAAATTAGCCTAATTTATTGAAATTACAAGAAATCATATTTAAGTGAAAAGACATAACCCGGGTTTTTGATAAATTGAGAAGATGAAGATGAATCTTGAATCTCTTTAATAGTTTCTTAATGAATCTCCACTTGCGTCTTCTCTTCTTTGTCCAAAAATTAGGTTTAAATCTTCACTTGATTGGATTCTTGCAAATTTTCTTCAATTCTCTCACAAAAACTATGAATTCTCCTCATTTGATGATAATAATTGTTGAATAATGGAATATAATATGTACATGAGAGTTTGTAATTCCTATTTTGCTGTTATGTATTTGTAGGATTCAAAAATTGGTTGAAAATCTCATCCAAATTGACTTCCAAAAGAGTTTCAATCGAATAAGGAAAGTTATATTCGTGCGCGAATTTTTTTGTCTCTGCACAACATTCAGTATTTTGATCATAACTTTCTCTCCCGATATCTGATTGATACAATTCAAAGTACGTTGAAAATCTAACTCAAAGGGATACAACTTTTTTGGAAATATAGTTTTCCCAATTCGGATGTTTACTATGCTAAAAAAATAGGTCACAATTCTCAACTAAAATTTTGGAATATAACTTGTGCGATTGGAAATTGATTTTGATCATATTCCATTCCTTTTTGAATTCTAATTCAATACAATTGTCTCATAGCAATCTTCAAAGTATCATCTTTTGGTCCAAATCAACTATTGAATTTGCAATTTGATCCTCAAACTTTGAATTTTGTCATTTTTCACCAATTTTCACTTCTTTCTTTCCATTCCTCGTCCAACTATTAAGTTTTATCAATATAACATAAAATACAACAATTTAGGATATATTTTGTCAAAAGCATTATCAAATATTGTTATTTAAGTGTATAAATTAGCAAAAAGTCCCTATAATTTGTCTATAAATAGGTTCATTTGCACAAATAAAAAAAGGTTGAAAATCTAAGATCTATTCTTCCATTTCCTCAAAACCGCATCGCGTCAAGGGAAAACCAAGGATAGGAACTCTTGAGAATCTTAGCATTGTTTGATTGAAGTGCACTTTTTGGTTAAATAATGCCAAAACCCTGTCTCTACTCTTTTCTACAAAGAACTTACCTAAAAGCACAACCATATCTCGCCTCCAACCAAAATTTCAGCACAATTCCACCGATGGCTTTAGAAAATAATTTCTGTTTTTTTGAGGTTAACAATTGGCGTCGACTATAGGAAATCTTACAAAGATCATGAGAAGAACATACATGAGGAAAATAAAAAGCTAGAAAGTATGAGTGGAAAAGAATCAAATGCAAAAAAATCTAAAAAGGGATGGGAATGAGAACCCAATC